TTCCTTTGAAATAATAGCAGTGACGGAATCCTGCTATGTGGCAGTATCAGGAATTCAATATATGAGCATGGAAGAAAGAAATGCAGACCAAGACATTTGGAGGTGCAGCCCAAGTGCCTAGTAGATGCAGAGAGATGACAATAAGAATTTTAAAGAAAAATTCACTTTGTAAAACAGCAGAACAATCCCTTTTTCAGTAGTTATGAAACTGTTTTATTCCTCAGATGCATCTCTTCCAAGATGAAAATTAGCATGAAAAAGGTTTACAGAAGAAAATTTCAAATTTCATGTTAGCATAGCACCCACCACCCAATATGCTTAAATAAGTCATGCAGGCCATTAGACATACATCTATAACAAAAATACTTTTCAGCTTTAAAAAAATATATTTAGACAAGACTTGACAGTGGAGTGGTTAAAGAACTTGGCTTATAACTGTCATCTGTTAAAAAAAGTATATTTGGGGATAGAAAGAGTGCAACAGTCAGGGGGAAACTCGTCTTGGGCCACTCTGTGGACCACCAAAGACAATGACAAAATTGAGGAGAGGTGGAATGTGTGTTGTAGAGATTCCAAACAGGCTACTGGAGATCTGAGAGGGCAGCTACACAGAAGTACCTGGGGATGCCCCTTCTCTCTCAATCGCAGATAGAAAGTACAGCCATCACGGGCAAAGTGGTCTCTGGCCAGGTCATGCTACATACCCCAGAAAACAATTATAGACTTTAGGAGATGTAAGCAGACAGCATTGAGGTGAGAGTCACACAAGCTTCACTGTAGACCAAAGAGAAGTCAAAGGACTATAGGAACAGTGAGCTTTTCAACTGCACACGACCAAAAAGGACTTGCTGGTAAAGCAAGTTGCCCTCCCCATAAAGGGAGCACTTCAAGTCTACAGCTAACCAGTGCAGTCATAAAGGTAAAGAACTGACAACAATCTAGGCAGACACAATAGAAATCACCTAACATGTACAAGAAAAAGTTCACATAATGACAAAAAAGCAGCAGGCAGCTTTCACCATTCTGAAAAAAACAAAGCAAGCTTTCTCCTAATACAGCAGATGATACTGCAGACACAATGAACACCAGTCATGGAAGGAGAAGAAATATATTGACATGGAGTTTTAGGAACAATTACTAAAGAAAGTACAAATGATGGAAGAAAGAATGGAAGCCATAAATAAAATTAATATCCTAGCGACAGGGAGCCAGAAGAAATATACAGATGTGGAGGGTCATGAACAACTTCTAAAGAAATTGCAAAAGATGAAAAAAAAATAATTGAGACTATAAAGAGATACAAGTGTTTTAAAAAATCATCATAAGACAGAGAAGGTACAGCAAACATAGTACTGGAAATAACAGAAATGCATGCAAATCCAACCCAGAATATCAAGATCAAAGTGGCAGTAATTTCCAAGGGGCTGGAGGGCCAAAAAAAGCAGAACAGAAGAGATGGAACAGACATCCAGCTAGCTGGATGACAAAAATCTCAATGAGAACATACGAAAGGGGGGGGGGAGAGAGAGAGAGAGAGAGAAGGAAAATGAAGAAAATATTAGAATTATGTGGGTTGACATCAAAAGGACAACATAGTTATGATCAGAATTCCAGAATACCAAAAAAAAGCAGGGAAAGCACTGAGAAAATTATAAAAGAGGTATTAGAAGAAAACTCCCCATTAAAACTAATAAAATTTAATAATAATAAAAATTTAAAAATAAAAT